ACGCAGGGTGTCTTGACCCATGGCCGTGTTCTCCTGCTACTGAGTAAGGGGCATTCCTGTTACAGACCAAGGAGAACTGGAGAAAGAAAGCGCAAATCTGTTCGTGGTTGTATTGTGGATGCCAACTTGAGTGGTCTCAACTTGGTTATTGTAAAAAAAGGAGAGAAGGATATCCCAGGACTGACTGATATTACAGTACCTTGTCGTCTGGGGCCCAAAAGTGCTAGCAGAATCCGCAAACTCTTCAATCTGTCTAAAGAAGATGATGTTCGCCAGTATGTTGTGAGGAAGCCCTTAAATAAAGAAGGTAAGAAACCTAGGACCAAAGCACCCAAGATTCAGCGACTTGTAATGCCACGTGTCCTGCAACATAAACGCCGGCGTATTGCTCTGAAGAAGCAGCGTACTAAGAAAAATAAGGAAGAGGCTGCAGAATATGATAAACTTTTGGCCAAGAGAATGAAGGAGGCCAAAGAAAAGCGCCAGGAACAGATTGCCAAGAGACGTAGGCTGTCCTCTCTGAGAGCATCTACTTCTAAGTCTGAGTCGAGCCAAAAATAAGATTTTTTGAGTTAAATAATAAGACCATATCCTAAAAAAACAAAACAAAACAAAAAAAACCAACTAGTAATAGGACTACTCTCCCTTCATTAGAAACTGAGATACTGTTCATGGTTTTTCCATTTGAATCATTGATCAGTTGAACATGGTCATTCTTTATAGACCTTCTAAAATGTTAACCTGTTCCTTGTAATAGATTTAGTTATTTGCCTTTTTAAGTTAAACTTTGCATTTCAAAATTAATTGTGAAATTCAAATCTTTCTTCTAGCATGTAGTTAATTTGTGTTGACATACCACTTATCCTAGGTGAGGCCAGTTTGTTCTTTTTATACAATTAGTGGACGTACTCTTGTTGGCTTACAACTTTTTAGTATCCTGAGGTCTGCAAAATAAAATTTACCTTTTTACTTTTACACATAGCAGTACACTCATTTCATGAACTCATTCATTCTTTGTTTTCAAAATTTGCTAGTACTGTATTTTCTCATATTATTGCATTTAATCTCAACCACTGTGTGAAATAGTATTATGCCACTGTTTCACAGATCTAGAAAACAAAGTTCAGGACAGCTAAGTGTTGTAGTTTGTCTGGGATTATACAAAGTATTAAAAATGTGGAAATTGAACCCATGTCTTCTAACTCCAAGTCTAGCCCAAGTGCTCTTTGTATTATATCAAAGTTACTCTACATCACTTGCTTCTTGCAACAACTTGGCATTATGCTGTATTTGGAGCTAGTTTTTCATGTAAATAGTATTCACGCTTTATTCCATTTTGTTTTGTTTTCATATCTATACTCTTTTTGTCTTTTTCTTTTCTCTCTCTTTTTTTGAGATTGCCAATGTCATCTGGTTATTATCCACTAGTGATTTTAGTCATACTGTTGCATACAGTGTGAGGTAATTCTTACATAATTTAAAATTCTATCAATTGCTTTTCAACTTAAAAAATACAGTAATTTAAAGCATACAGAAAAGCTGCAAGAAGGCCGGGCGTGGTGGCTCATGCCTGTAATCCTAGCACTTTGGGAGGCCGAGGCAGGCGGATTGCTCAAGGTCAGGAGTTCGAAACCAGCCTGAGCGAGACCCCCGTCTCTACCAAAAATAGAAAGAAATTAATTGACCAACTAAAAATATATATACAAAAAATTAGTCGGGCATGGTGGCGCATGCCTGTAGTCCCAGCTACTCGGGAGGCTGAGGCAGTAGGATCGCTGAGCCCCGGAGATTGAGGTTGCTGTGAGCCAGGCTGACGCCACGGCACTCACTCTAGCCTGGGCAACAAAGTGAGACTCTGTCTCAAAAAAAAAAAAGAAAAGCTGCAAGAAATGGTACAAAGAATTCCCATATATTCTACAGCCAGATCTACCTATTGTTAAAATTTTATTGTGTTTGCTTTACCATGTGTTCTCTTTCTTTCCCTCCCTCCACATATACATATACAGAGTCATGAGTCACTTACCAAGGGGAGTATGTTCTGAGAAATGTGTTATTAGGTATAGTATAGTAAATATTAGGTAACTATAGTAAATAAATACATAAACTAGTAACATAGTCATTTATTATCATTACCAAGTATTATATACTGCACATAACTGTGCTATCCTTTCTTTTTTCTTTTTTTTTTTTTTTTTTTTTGAGACAGAGTCTTACTCTTTTGCCCGGACTAGAGTGCCGTGTCATCAGCCTAGCTCACAGCAACCTCAGATTCTTGGGCTCAAGCAATCCTCCTGCCTCAGCCTCCTGAGTAGCTGGGACTACAGGCATGTGCCACCATGCCCAGCTAATTTTTTGTATATATATTTTTAGTTGGTCAATTAATTTCTTTCTATTTATAGTAGAGACGAGGTCTCGCTCTTGCTCAGGCTGGTTTTGAACTCCTGACCTTGAGCAATCCGCCCGCCTCGGCCTCCCAAGAGCTAGGATTACAGGCGTGAGCCACAGCGCCCGGCCGCCCAGCTAATTTTTAAGTAGAGACAGGGTGTCACTCTTGCTCAGGCTGGTTTCGAACTTCTGACCTTGAGCGATCCTGCCTTGGCTTCCCAGAGTGCCAGAATTACAGACGTGAGCCACTGCACCCAGTGTGCTATACTTTTGTACAACTGGCAGTGCAATAAGTTTGTTTACACCAGCATTGCCACAAATGTGGGTAATGTTGCACTGTGACATTAGGATGGCTACCACATCAGTAGGTTATAGGAATGTTTCAGCTCCATTATAATGTTATGGGACCACCATGTGGTCCATTGTTGATTGAAATGTTGTACAGTATGACTGTGTGTGTGTGTGTATATATATATATATATATATATATTTTTTTTTTCCTGAACCATTTGAGAGTAAGTTGTAGACATTATGCTCATTTATACCTAAATACTTCAGTATTGCCTAAGAAGTTCTTTTTATATAACAAGTTAGACATTAGAGCAATATATAGATAGAATTATGATTTTCTTTCTCATCTTCAGTAGATGGCATTTTAGAAGGATTATGTTGTTTGATGCTGGACCTACAACTTAAGTGAGAAGTTTTTTGTCATCTGTTTTTCTCTGGACCATTTGTTACTGCCTCTACCTTTGTTCTTTTTGGCTTTTACCTCTAGTTTCTGACACACCTAGAGCAGGTGTGAGAACTTATTGCCTTACCCTACAATAATGCTGCCATTCAGAGCCTGGGAATCTTTTTTCTGCTACTGCCTTTTTTTCCCTTTGCTCCCTGTACTCAGAGGTATGTGTCATAGGGCAGGCTGAGTTTCAGTAAGCTCCTAATGTGGATACTGGAAACTCCACCTGCCTGCCAAGTCTTTTTGGCTACAAGCAAAGTGGAGGCTTGGTACTTGTCATTCCTTTGCAGTAGTTGAGCTGAAGGAATGCTGAATGGCTTGTTGGAAGTTGCTTAGCAACGTCAAGTCGGGTGTGTATGAGGGTGTGTGTAGAGAGGTGAGGGTCTTGTTGTCTGTGTGGGAGATATGGGTTCTTTCCTGGTGTCATGTTAATTATGAGGCAGTATTTATTGAGTGCCTCCTTATAACTACCACTGTGATGGGAGCTTCTGGAATAGAATAATAAAATACATAATTTAATCACAGTGGGTAATAGGTAAATAATTCTAGTTCTGCAACTTAACCATCTTTGAAGTGGGCAAGTTAATGTCTTTATGCCTCACTTTATTCTTTTGTAAAATGGAACCATTAATACCTACCTGATAGGGCTGTTATGAAGAATAAATAAAGAATGTAAATATAATGATTAGCACATGCCTGGCACTAGTTACTATTTCATTTTGTGTAGTCAAATTCAGGATTTATGACTGATACCATATAAAACAGAGAATAATAAAAACAGAATAATATGGCAGTATAATGTATAATCAAATACTTTAATTGTGACATGTAGATTATAAATAGTCTGGGAATTTAGAGAAGGGAAAGAACAGTCTTATGCAACCATTTAATACTCCTGTGCCTCAGTTTTTCCACTGGACACACTGTGGATGATGCTAGGTGATCTCCCAGAGAATGATAAAGATGTTAAAACATTTTGCTTTTTTAGGTGGTGCATATGATGGTGGGAAGGAAAGGAGAAGTTTGAGGAACTATTAGAAACCAAATTTAGCACTTAATATTCTTAATTTTTTCCTTATGCGGACAAGGCAGCTTTACAGGAAAACTTAAAGCTGGAGATAAGGTGCTTTCCTTCCAGAAAAGGTGCTTGCTTTGATATTCTCCCTGTTGCCTCACTGGCATTTTAATTAGTTGAAAACTAAAGTTGGTCAATGGATCGCCTCTGATTGTGAGCCCCTTTCATATAATAATCTGGGGATTTAAGTGATTTATAACCCACATTGTCTTTCTGATCCTCTGGCAGAAATTAAACAAACAAACAAATAGGGCAGAAGTAGATTTAGTTCTCTTGGACTAGATGTTAAGGACATGTGAGTTACTCACCGTCAGTGTTTCTCTGGGATGGGATGTCTTTGCTCAAAACAGTTTAGACTCCTAATTTGGCCCTTCTACCGTTAAGCAGGTTTTCATAACCATACAACTGGAAAACACCTTTTAAAAAGTGTTTTATTCACAACATCCAAAGGAAAACTGTTTCAATTCCTAATTTGGTGTGTGCATACTTAGTGATTTTTGTTTTGTTTTAAAAGTTTGTATTTGGTTTTTATTTCTGTTAGGATCAACTTTCTTCTCCTTCAAGAAAATTTCAGAGAAGTTTCCCCAAAAGTAAAGTTATTCATAGCCTTTTTTTTGCCTCTCTAGTTTGAGTGTTTCTCTCTTTTGTTGTTGTTATAGTTTTTTTTTTTTTTTGGCATTGTTTGCCAAGGTTTCAAGTTTATAGTGAGAGGTGAGGCAACGTTGATCTTGGCAGAACAGACAAAGCCAGTAGAGTCATTAAGTGACGCAAGCTTTTGATTTTTTTTTCTTTCTGTTAAAGTTCTCTGACACAGCTGGCTATTCTAGTCCCAGAAGAAAAGAGAAGAGACGTTCTGAAGATCTGGATGAGACGATAAAAGTTTGGGGCACATTAAAAAGAAGCAGTGAAAACCTCAACAAAACCTCAGATAATTCAAACAAGCTTCTTGGCTTTGTGGAGTCTTTTTCAGTTGCTCAGAACTTGAATTTTTACTTCAGAGGATGATGGGACAAGGCAGTAGTGGGAGAGGAGGGTTATGTTGGATTCCTGCTTATCTGCCTGCGTCTCCTTCCAGTTGGAAAAATCTTCAGTCCACAAAAAGCATTATTAACAAGACTGAAGAATACATCTCACCTGATCCTGGATGCTGTTGGCATTGAGGATTACATCCAGTGCACCAGGACCTTATGGAGGCAGTTCAAGAAAAATAGAGAGAAGCAATACTGTTTGCATTAGTCCTGTGCTGTGTCACATTTTGGGGATTGTTTGGAACAAGTGAGGGATGGCTCTGTCATTTGGATCTAAGAGGATATTTCGAGTACCTTGAACTACATATATGATGTTTGGAAGACAGTAAACTCAAAGACTTTCCACATAAATTCACTAAATTTTGCATTCTCTTTCTTTTGAGAATTCAGCAGACAGAAATTGCCTGCCAAAAAGATATAAGACTTTCTCTGCGTTTTTGGGTTAAATGTGAACAATAATGTCTTGGAAGAGAAATTATTTTTCAGGGGGCCGTGGTAGTGTCCAAGGGATGTTTGCACCTCGGAGCTCAACCTCCATAGCCCCCAGCAAAGGCCTCAGCAATGAGCCAGGACAAAACAGCTGTTTCCTCAACAGTGCCCTGCAGGTAAGGGTAATTTCTTTCTTTTTGGTGAGTTTTGACTTTTAATTGCTAATGCTGTATTTCTGATAACTCTTTTAAATATTATACTTGACAGTCTCTGAAGTCAGTAACCTGAGGTCATTTTTTAAGTTTATCTGTATAATCTTAGGCAAGTCACTTCATCTCTTTGTTTTTTTTTTTTTTTTTTTTTGAGACAGAGTCTCACTTTGTTGCCCAGGCTAGAGTGAGTGCCATGGCGTCACCCTGGCTCACAGCAATCTCAAACTCCGGGGCTCAGCGATCCTACTGCCTCAGCCTCCCGAGTAGCTGGGACTACAGGCATGCACCACCAGGCCCGGCTAATTTTTTGTATATATTTTTAGTTGGTCAATTAATTTATTTCTATTTTTGGTAGAGACGGGGTCTCGCTCAGGCTGGTTTCGAACTCCTGACCTTGAGCAATCCGCCCGCCTCGGCCTCCCAAAGTGCTAGGATTACAGGCGTGAGCCACCACGCCCGGCCTGTTTTTTTGTTTTTAATTTTTTTTTAAACTTTGTAAAGTTGTACAGTACACTTCATCTCTTTGAATCTCAATTACTTCATTTGTAAAAAGGAGGATTAAAGATAATAAGAGAAATAAATAATAACTATTATTTACCTGCCTAAAGGGAGGTACCAGGTGATCTTTCTACTTGTTTATCAACTTTTTCTTGAACTGACTTTACCATTTCCTTTTTTTCCTTTTGAGATCAAGGTGTCTTATCACTCTCGTTGCTTTTCTCTAGTATAGAAAGCAAAATTCTTTCTACAAGTCAGAGACTTCCAGGTATGTTTTTCTCGTCTCATAATATTTAGGCTCTTAACCCACACACTGAATGGAATCTGGTCTTTGTCCGCTTCTTCATCTCTTCTTTTTGAGCTCTCCTATATTGGCTTAGGATTGGTGTCTAGTCAGATATGCTTGAACAGAGCTAGAGGAAAATAAATTCCTTTAAGGTGATTATCTACCCTAGATTTTCCTTTTTGCTGTTGCTTGTTATTTTACTGGTCTCATAATCCCAAAGCTTCCTATTTGTCTGTTTGTTCTGCTTAGTCAGGCCCATGGAGTGTTAGGTTCATCTCTCTTGGCCTAACTTTCAAGTAATTATTTTCCCCTTTTGCTTTTCAGAGTAAAAGTAAATGAAATTTGCCACCCAAGGTAATTATAGTTGGGTAAAATATTAGCTTGACTGACTTCTCAGATGTAATGAGAAAATAGGTTACTATGAGAGAAGACAAGATAATGTATATTTGGTATAAAGAGCATTGGACTTGGGAATAAGGAGACTTGGATTCTAGTTTTAGCCTTCTATAGTCTAGTTGTGTGACCTTGTACAGGTAATAGTGTCTGGGTTTCCTCATTCATAATACAAGAATCTTGCCAAGCTTATCTATGTAATAAAAGTTTCAACTGGGTGTGGTGGCTCATGACTGTAATTCTACCACTGTGAGAGGCCAAGGCAGGAGGATTGCTTGAGGTCAGGAGCTTGAGACCAGCCTGACCAAGAGCGAGACCATGTCTCTACTAAAAATAGAAAACATCAGCAGGGGTGGTGGTATACACCTGTAGTTCCAGCTACTTGGAAGGTTGAGGGGGGAGGTTGGCTTGAGTCCAGGAATTTGAGGTTGCAGTGAGCTATGATGATGTCACTGCACTCTAGCCAGGGTGACAGAGGGAGACTCTGTCTCAAAAAAAAAAAGTTTCATCTTTCTGTTTTCAAGTTTTTATTTGAAAACATTTAAAAATCCTGTGCTGTCAAACCTATAGAAAGAATTTAGCTACTTTGCCCAATTACTACCACAAATTTCACGTAGTTGGGGAGATTGGTTAGGTTTTTTTCCAAGATGATATACATTACGTTTTTGAGTGACTTGATATGTTGATAAATCTTTTGTAATTTAGAAGCAGGCAAAATAAAGTATTACTATAGATGTATGTGTTTACCTTCTTCCTGGCCATAGTTCAGGTTTTTGTAATTCTGTTTCTCTCTATATGTTCTATCTATATTGTCAATTGAAACAATAATATTTATGACTTTCCATTCTAATTTATATAGTATATAAATTATTTTAGTAATATTTAGTAATTATTTAGTAATGTTTTATTAGTATATAAAGTATTCTAATTTATAATTATATGTGCCATATACAACATATATATATATACATACATACATATTTCTGTTTTCCATACTTCCAGGTTGAAGCATTGATGGTTTTAGAGTACCTACTATAATCATATTACGTGTTGAAAATAATTATTGCTATGAGTTAATATTCTGACTTTTGCCATGAAAGCTTTGTTTGCCACAGATGTGTTGAATGTATTACATTTGTGAAAAAAGGGATTATTTAGTTGGAGGCATAGTCTGTTTCACAGGACTTTTAGAGGCCAGGCATGGTTGTTCATGCCTGTAATCCCAGCACCTTGGGAGGCTGAGGCATGAGGATCACTTGAGGCCAGGAGTTCGAGACCAGCCTGGACAACAAAGTGGTACCCTGTCTCTACAAAAAGTAATAAAAAAATTAGCCAGGCATGGTGGTATGTATCTTACTTGGGAGGCTGAGTAAGGAGGATCACTTGAGCCCAGATGTTGGAGGATGCAGTGAGTCATGATTATACGACTACCACTCCAGCTAGGGTGACAGAACAAAGATCCTGTCTCTAAAAAGAAAAAAATCCTAGCACTCTGGGAGGCCAAGGTGGGAGGATGGCTTGAGCTCAAGAGTTTGAAACCAGCCTGAGCAAGAATGAGACCCTGTCTCTACTAAAAATATAAAAATTAGCCGGGCGTCATGATATGTGCCTGTAGTCTCAGCTACTCAGGAGGCTGAAGTAGGAAGATTGCTTGAGCTCAGGAGCTTGAGGTTGCTGTGAGCTAGGCTGACACTACGGCACTCTAGCTTAGGCAAGAGAGTGAGACTCTGTCTCAAAAAAAAAAAAAAAATTCACTCTTGAGCTCAAGCCATCCTCCCACCTGGCCTCCCAGAGTGCTAGGATTTTTTTTCTTTTTAGAGACAGGATCTTTGTTCTGTCACCTAGCTGGAGTGGTAGTCGTATAATCATGACTCACTGCATCCTCCAACAATCTGGGCTCAAGTGATCCTCCTTACTCAGCCTCCCAAGTAAGATACATACCACCATGCCTGGCTAATTTTTTATTACTTTTTGTAGAGACAGGGTGCCACTTTGTTGTCCAGGCTGGTCTCGAACTCCTGGCCTCATGCCTCAGCCAGCCTCCCAAGGTGCTGGGATTACAGGCATGAACAACCATGCCTGGCCTCTAAAAGTCCTGTGAAACAGACTATGCCTCCAACTAAATAATCCCTTTTTTCACAAATGTAATACATTCAACACATCTGTGGCAAACAAAGCTTTCATGGCAAAAGTCAGAATATTAACTCATAGCAATAATTATTTTCAACACGTAATATGATTATAGTAGGTACTCTAAAACCATCAATGCTTACCTGGAAGTATGGAAAACAGAAATATGTATGTATGTTATATATATATGTTGTATATGGCACATATAATTATAAATTAGAATACTTTATATACTATAAATAAAAATTACTAATATTTACTAAAATAATTTATATACTATAAATTAGAATGGAAAGTCATAAATATTATTGTTTCAATTGACAATATAGATAGAACATATAGAGAGAAACAGAATTACAAAAACCTGAACTATGGCCGGAAGAAGGTAAACACATACATCTATAGTAATACTTTATTTTGCCTGCTTCTAAATTACAAAAGATTTATCAACTATCAAGTCACTCAAAAACGTAATGTATATCATCTTGGAAAAAAACCTAACAATCTCCCCAACTACGTGAAATTTGTGGTAGTAATTGGGCAAAGTAGCTAAATTCTTTCTATAGGTTTGACAGCACAGGATTTTTAAATGTTTTCAATAAAAACTTGAAACAAGCAAGTGAAACTTTTTTTTTTTGAGACAGAGTCTCCCTCTGTAACCCTGGCTAGAGTGCAGTGACATCATCATAGCTCACTGCAACCTCAAATTCCTGGACTCAAGCCAACTCCCCCCTCAACCTTCCAGTAGCTGGACTACAGGTGTATACCACACCCCTGCTGATGTTTTCTATTTTTAGTAGAGACATGTCTCGCTCTTGGTCAGGCTGGTCTCAAGCTCCTGACCTCAAGCAATCCTCCTGCCTTGGCCTCTCACAGTGGTAGAATTACAGTCATGAGCCACCACACCCAGTTGAACTTTTATTACATAGATAAGCTTGGCAAGATTCTTGTATTATGAATGAGGAACCCAGACACTATTACCTGTACAAGGTCACACAACTAGACTATAGAAGGCTAAAACTAGAATCCAAGTCTCCTTATTCCAAGTCCAATGCTCTTTATACCAATTACATTATCTTGTCTTCTCTCATAGTAACCTATTTTCTCATTACATCTGAGAAGTCAGTCAAGCTAATATTTTTACCCAACTATAATTACCTTGGGTGGCAAATTTCATTTACTTTTACTCTGAAAGCAAAAGGGGAAAATAATTACTTGAAAGTTAGGCAAGAGAGAGTGAACCTACCACTCCATGGGCCTGACTAAGCAGAACAAACAGACAAATAGGAAGCTTTGGGATTATGAGACCAGTAAATAACAAGCAACAGCAAAAAGGAAAATCTAGGTAGATAATCACCTTAAGGAATTTATTTTCCTCTAGCTCTGTTCAAGCATATCTGACTAGACACCAATCTAAGCCAATATAGGAGAGCTCAAAAAGAAGAGATGAAGAAGCGGACAAAGACCAGATTCCATTCAGTGTGTGGGTTAAGAGCCTAAATATTATGAGACGAGAAAAACATACCTGGAAGTCTCTGACTTGTAGAAAGAATTTTGCTTTCTATACTAGAGAAAAGCAACGAGAGTGATAAGACACCTTGATCTCAAAAGGAAAAAAAGGAAATGGTAAAGTCAGTTCAAGAAAAAGTTGATAAACAAGTAGAAGATCACCTGGTACCTCCTTTAGGCAGGTAAATAATAGTTATTATTTATTTCTCTTATTATCTTTAATCCTCCTTTTTACAAATGAAGTAATTGAGATTCAAAGAGATGAAGTGTACTGTACAACTTTACAAAGTTTAAAAAAATTAAAAAAAAAACAAAGAGTGAAGTGACTTGCCTAAGATTATACAGATAAACTTAAAAAATGACCTCAGGTTACTGATTCAGAGACTGTCAAGTATAAATTTAAAAGAGTTATCAGAAATACAGCATTAGCAATTAAAGTCAAAACTCACCAAGAAAGAAATTACCCTTACCTGCAGGGCACTGTTGAGGAAACAGCTGTTTTGTCCTGGCTCATTGCTGAGGCCTTGCTGGGGGCTATGGAGGTTGAGCTCCGAGGTGCAAACATCCCTTGGACACTACCACGGCCCCCTGAAAAATAATTTCTCTTCCAAGACATTATTGTTCACATTTACCAAAAACGCAGAGAAAGTCTTATATCTTTTTGGCAGGCAATTTCTGTCTGCTGAATTCTCAAAAGAAAGAGAATGCAATTTAGTGAATTTATGTGGAAAGTCTTTGAGTTTACTGTCTTCCAAACATCATATATGTAGTTCAAGGTACTCGAAATATCCTCTTAGATCAAATGACAGAGCCATCCCTCACTTGTTCCAAACAATCCCCAAAATGTGACACAGCACAGGACTAATGCAAACAGTATTGCTTCTCTCTTTTTTTCTTGAACTGCCTCCATAAGGTCCTGGTGCACTGGATGTAATCCTCAATGCCAACAGCATCCAGGATCAGGTGAGATGTATTCTTCAGTCTTGTTAATAATGCTTTTTGTGGACTGAAGATTTTTCCAACTGGAAGGAGACGCAGGCAGATAAGCAGGATCCAACATAACCCTCCTCTCCCACTACTGCCTGTCCCATCATCCTCTGA